TTAAGTGGTGGCTTCGAAACACATTCCACGGAAGAGTTAAGAACGAACAAATGTAGCGGCTAACGTTCAGTTTCGTTAGGAAATGGTCCGTGCGTAGGGTTCTCCTCGGCTATGTCAGAAGATGCGAGGTGTCCGTTCCAACGTACCACGCAGACTATCAGAACAGATTCGTAGAAAGTGTCTAGAGTCGATCGCATGGGGCGACAGTTTTGTCAGTGATGAGCCGACAGTGCTGGAATCGCTCACTAACTCCAGCAACTTGCTCAGTTATCTGAGAGCCACATGACTCGCCTCAGTGGTTTATTGAGATGGCGAGCAGCACACCGTGTGCACCAATGGACATATGTATCGCATAGGATGTGGTGAAGCCATGGTGGAACTTGATTCCGACAAATTGAGAAGCTATTTGAAGTTTCGCTGCCGATGTTGCGGAGCAATGGGAGCAGTTGGGAAGAAGTGTTGTCAACACCGACTCAGATTTGCATGACAACTACCCGTAGGTAGCCTGGCGTTACTGGAAAGTTGTGGACGTCTCACTCTCAATATCAGTTCAGAGAATTTAGGCTACACACCAGCTCCGCAATCTCACGCTCTCTGATTAATTCTCACCTCGCCGATCATCATGATTGTGCGGCACAAAAGCGCCAGTACAGATTACTTAGGAATCGCTGTCGTGGATGATGGTGATGGTAATGCCGGTACCCCAAAACAGCCCCATATGGGAACCACGCTCCGGGTCTGATCATGATCGGAAAAGTAATCCTCCTTTGGTCGGCATCGAAATGTGACCTACTGAGGTTCAGCAGCGTGGAAAACAAACAAATATGCTGCAGCAACATCAATGCGAAGCACTTGAACCACGCAGCTGTTTGAGTGAGAGAGGTAAGCAAAGTGGGCGCTGACCGGTTTAGTGAAACTTAAGCGGTCCGCATGTTGTCAAGCAAGCCACTTCATGGTTCCGCAGTAGACGCTTACTGCGGGGCAAGCGGTTATGGTAATGCTGAAGTGATTGACGAAATGCACCTTTCTTTCAATATCCACCAGGGTTAGTGCACCAGCGTGACAAGGAAGTACGGAGATAATAAAAGTTGGTGTACTATGGACGACGGTGCCACACGCACACACCGTCTGAACAGTGGTGGAAAGTAGGTAGTCATGCGCCAATAAGGCGATCAAGCATGCACCCTAATCTCACAGGAAGATTAATTCGACGAAGAGCATGACGATTTCAATAGATTTCGGCTGTAAACCTTGGAGCAGCCTTCATTGAAATAGCCAAATGTCCAGTATCGAACCGACAGACAGTAGAAATTCACTGACATAACAGACGCTGATAGTAGCAGCAATCTAATTAGGAGGTACTGAGTGCTGCTCCAAGTAGACGGGCTTCCACCCGAAATATGGACTCTGACCAAATAGCCGTATGAGGATTAACAGTTATAACAAAACTGAGAATCAAATATAAGCCAACGTTCGGGTTTTTGACCATCCGTAGTAAGTAAATAGAGCGTACGAAGACAATACTGCATATCAACTTCAGCCATGTGTTCCTCTAGTGTTTGGGTCCAAGTTTATGCTCCGCAACCTTATCTGCTTGCCACATACTACAGCAGAAGGAATAACCTATACATGCTCTGTCAGATGCCGTGTTAACACAATGTATAAAACACCCGAAATAAGACAGTATGACGTACTGAAAGGACGAAACCGTTTGCAAATTAACCCGTGGCAGATTTACATGTCCAAAAATGTTCTATAATGACATGAAGACTAGTTGTAGTCATACGTTGGTAGCACATGCGAATCCTGCCAGAACGAAGTGGCCACGATGGTGATAGTGGCTGAGTCGATCGTGAGCAAGCGTACTACGCACAGATGAGATAAGCTGAAGGCAGCGATTGCTTGTTCTCCCCGCAGTTCATGCTTCATGACGATTTCATCCTAAATGGACGATTAGGATGGCACTGACACTGTAACCAGAACGTATCCAAAGAGGAAGGAACCGTGCAATACTGACCTAGAGAAAACACTTCATACGTAATTGGTAACCTGGACGATTAAGATGATGTGCTGAAAGTGTACAATAACTGCAAGCACAAAATCACGGGGAGCGAGTTGTGGAACCGGTTGTAGGACACTTGTGCAAGGTGAAAGATCAGTCCCAAACACACACACACACACACACACGCAGTGGCTTACCTGCTCTGTCAGATGAGACCGGCTGGGTAAGTGAGAAAGAGGCTCCGACGCCTTCGTGATCCGAATAGTGCAGGCCTGACGGATCATCGGGTACCGCTTGAAGATCTAGCCAACTGGAGTGGCAGGTGATCTCAGCAGGAGCTGGCGAGAACAAGAGTGAAATAACTGATACAAACTGTTCAAGGTCACAACAGATTTCGTGCACAAGAGCTAGGTGACCTGGTAGCGCAAGAGTTGATGTATTGGAATATCTGGGAACGGGTCGCAATGAAACCCAGCGAAATATATATATATATATATATATATATATATATATATGTATATATATATATATATGGAGAGTAAATGAATCAACGAAAACGATGAAAACCAAATGAGAGTACAGCTCTACCGAAAAGGAAACAAAACATGTTTGTTTTTTAGATGGCTGTTCCAGTCCTACCGGGTACATTCCTACGGTGAAACACTGTAACGAACTCTATGTAATAACATATCAATAACAGCCGATAAGAACAGTCATGGTCATATGCCACTTCAGCGCATCAAACACTAGAGATCAGGATCTTTTAAGTCAGTAACAAATTTAGTGTTGCTCAGTATTACCGTTGCCAAGCAACAATAGGTCTCCGCAACAGCTGACTGACAACGTCAGATTGCTGCGGCGGCTTCCGCGGGAGGAGTTGATATCCGTTCAGGGTGTTCCGTTACATTCGACCTGTAGCAAAATGTCTCAGTAAATATCGTCCTGCACTTGAATAGAAGTTCAGTGGCTAAACAGTGGTCACAATTCCTGATTCGCTGTTTATTATTTATTTAACACTTAACCAATAAACATATGGCGGCGTGCCACAACACGAGTACCAGAAACAATATGAAGGAAGAGTCAGGAGAAGAGATGGGAAGATCCATGTGTAGTGTGGGCATTGAGCTTCCCGATTCCTCCGACCGAGGAAGGTGTCGATTTAAGGGACCCCACCCTGAGCCTTTGGTCATAAATACCTGATCCGCAAGGCAGCGCGGCGATAAACGAAGACCGTTGATAGCTTCGTGGCTCATTCGCCTTCTTTTTGTTCGGTTGCAGTCCACAGAGAAGCCGGTGGTCAGCAAGGTTGTTCATCCGCCCTCCATTAAATACTCACCTCCAGTTACAGAAGTGAGTGGTCAGTGACCCGATGGCCTGTCACATTGGCTTTGACACAGCGCCGTAATAGCTCATGTGGTATTTCAGGCAGAACCAGGTGATCAGTCCCCACGCTCTGAGACGCTGCCTCTGATTGTCCGCGACTGTTTATTATCTCGCTTGCAAAGCAGACGAGACTTATTCGCGGTTACCTCCACAAGGAAGGCATTCCCCAATCTGCAACCTGGGGACGCGCCCGATAGCGTACGGCTCCGTCACAGTTTGCTTGAGGTCAGATGCACTGCATCGTATTACTGGGTGCGGTGTGTATGTGCGGGAGGGTGGCGAATACTTTCGTCCGGCGTGCAGTCACTCGGACGGAGTGATGATATTTGCCACTTATCGTGGTCAGCTCCAGCAGTGAAGGGAGCATGAAAGGTGGATGGGACCAAGTAAAATCATGCGCACACAGTTGCGCGCAAATTGTACTCATGCAATAGTTCCGGATGCAGCAACGGGCAATCAGTGGATGGCGCGAGAGAAAAAGCTGCTTAGTTGTAATATTCACAATTATTCACATAAGACAAAATCGACCAGGGATTTACCTGATATGTGAAAGGAAGGAATACAATTTAGTATTCAGACGGCACCGCCTGGTAATTGCCGAAGGGACATAGTTTTGTAATGTCAGTATAAATTATGAGGTTGCAAACTGGATACAATGCGAATAAGAGTCGAATAGCTATACTATGGTGTGTAAAAATTGAGACTGAAAGCAATGCTAATCAGACTCAAGAACGCACCTGCCAAATAATGGAAGATGATTCCAGCTGAATTGCGCGAGCCTCTCGTCATGCGTAGCATACTGTATCAGGTGGACCAGGTACACACAGAAAAGACGCTCAGTATGGTAAGTAGGAAGGAATTGCACAACTAAGAAATGCAACCTACATGAACCGAATTGCTGATCGAATGGGCCATTCCCGGTTCGATAGAAAATATAGTCCAGACGCTCTCCATTGCCATAGAATCGTGTCCAAACGTCATTTCGGTACGGGTTATCCGCGCGATCACAAGTACAACCCTCGATTTCCAATTTATCTACTGGAATACGTTGTGAGTTGACCGACACCTAGGGATCAGGAAAAACGAACAGCATACGGTGATTGATTACGTTGAAGGGGACCAGCAAGTGAGGTGAAATCGAGTTTTGTGAATAAGCTAAGGCGCAAACAAGGCCACGTGCCTTTTCTGTTTTATTGACTAATCAACGAATACCTACAACAAGATTATGGATTATTGATGAAGCATATTCCAGAGAGGAGGGTAGGTTCAAACATCAAGCATACAAGCAATCGCTATTAGACGTCAGGTAACTAACAGTCGCCCAATGAAACACCAAATGTGATTTCAAAAACGTGCTGGTCAAGGCCTGGAAAATAGTGGTTGCCTATGACGTACAGCCGTTCAAACATTCCAGCATTTAGCCATCGACCCTACACTTCATCGACCTTAACTTATAGAAGTTCAGCAAGCAATTCATAGAAATGAATAGGGATACGCACTACTGAGGATAAAGCATTTGCCGCCAACCTCGGTGATTTTGTTTCAGTACAAGTTAACTAACGAAAATGGACAGACTAGCGTTTGCGATAGACTCCTCTGTGGTTACAACATTCGCCGATGACCTGCGTTAGTTCCGGAACCAAGGCGTATTAATATAAGTAGGGGGACGAGAGTTATTACATAAGAAAGCAGTGGCTATAGATGACCACAGAGTAGGTTTGTTTGGACAAGCTGAAGCGCACAGCACCTTGTGGAACTTGGTGAAAGCCAACACGATGACTCGCCTTGTGCTTGGCTCGAGAATTTACAGGACATGGCTCGCAATCGACACCAGTGGCGCGTCTGCTGCCGTCTTCTAATCGGATTGCCTGTTTAAAATGTGTTTGGTGCTAAGTTATCTGCGGGGTTATGGCTGATTATGACGCGGGGCAGTGAAAGCTGCAAGGAAGCTGTCTCGCAGATGCCGTCTTATCTTTGCACGATCGCCAGCTGTTTGTGACAGTATGTTGTCTACACAAGGTGTAGGCGCCTTCACCCTGAATGTTTGCTTAGGGCATTAAGGTTTTCAGATAAGTCCCCCTTCTCTCCCTCTTATCATTCTTCATTTCATAGGTCATCATGATTGTATGGCAGCGAAGCATCAGTTCAAATGGCTGATGTACTGCTGTTGTTGATTGGATTGTTGTTGACACGATGGCCAGTGCTTCCTTCTCAATCTGACCATAGTTCTCCTCAGCTGGCGTTAGTGTACGTGAACGTGCAAAACCGCTTTTTCGGAACGATTTGGGAGAGAATGGCTCCAATCCAGTAGGTATAAGCGTCAGCAGCGACCAAAATCTGCAAAGTTGGGGCCTAATGTGTCAGTATTAGGTCAGAACACAGCATGGATTTCAGACGAACGAAAGACTTCTCGCACGCGGTGACCAGTGCAATGGAACATACTCCTGCAACAACCGATTGAGCGGGGCTTGGATCTCGTATAACGATGGCAGTTAGGCACTGTCGTAGCATATGAGACCTAGGAAAGACCGCAATTGTGACACATCCATTAGAGTTGGCCTCTTCAGAATGGCTTGGACGTTATCAGGATCAGGATGGCGGCCACTGGAAGTTAACTCACAAAGGAGTAAAGTAGAGTTGGGGAAGAGGATAGCAAATCGCGTTCGAAACTATTAGGCACCACATCAGCAATGTGCCTGTACTCGGGTATTACGATCGAGCGCAGTCTGTGGAGGTGCAGTGTGACAGCAGCCAAGACGGAATAGGTGCTGTTCTCTTACAGAATGGAAGATCATTGGATTTGCGCCGTCGAGCACTCACCGTGACCGAGCAGCGCTATGCGCAAATTGTGTGCTTGCAGTAGTCTATGCCATGGAGCGTTTCAACGATTATACTTTCGGAAGAAAGACAGCGTTGTATACCGACCACAAACCGCTTGTGTCAATAACCAGGAAACCGCTGCACGTCGTTCCTCGTCGCTTTCAGCGTGTGCTTAACCAGCTTCAAAAGTACGACGTAGATATTATGTAAACGCCTGGTCCACAGCAGTTCATCTGCCAGTACCCGAGCATAATCCGAAGAGGTCGAAGCAGTAAACTTAGTACAGCACCTGGCAGTGACAGAAGATCGACTAAAGGAAATAAGGCGCCACACAGAGGAAGATGCAACGATTTCAGCTTTGCGAGACGTTATTCCAAATGGGTGGCCAGAGACAAAGAAGAAGCTGCCGAAGGAACTAACACCCTACTTCAATTTTCGGGACCAACCCTCTGCCTTTGATGGTTTGCCGTTCAACGGAAGCTGTATTCTGATTCCGTCATCGTTCCGAGGAGAAATGCTGTAATACGTCCATCGCGCTCACCTTGATGCCAACTATACCATTAACCGAGCAAGGGAATTCATCTTTTGGTCAGGAATGACGGGTCAAATAAAAGATCATATATCGAGTTGCGAGGCTTGCCGTTCACACGAAATCCGGCAGTTGAGGGAACCAATGATGCTGCATGATGTCCCTGATCGACCGTGGCAGAAGGTGGCGATGGATTTATTCAGTGATAACGGGAATGATTACTTACTCACGGCGAATAAATATAGCGATTATTTTGAAATCGATATCCTTACCACTACGACCACAGTGGCACTAATCAACAAGCTCAGATGTCAGTTCGCGCGGCACGGTATACCGGAGGAGCTTGTCTCCGACAATGGACCCCAGCTTACTCGCGGTGCTTTCCAGGCGTTCGCAAAAACCAAGTGGGAATTCGTGCACTAGCAAACCAGCGCATATCACAGACAATAGAATGGAAAGCTCTACTCGGCAGTGAAGCAGGCAAAGAGACCGTTATCAAAGGCTAGAGCAACTGGCGAGGACCCGTACCTCATGATAGAACAGCACCTACCGGTAGATTTTATAGGCTCCCCTATCCAAACGCTGCACTATGGTAACAAAATTACTCGAATTCTTCGAAATTAGAATCCGAGTCAGAATCTCCAAACAGTTCCTGGAAGTGGTCGTTTGTCATGGGGATGTCAGGGTGAATATCGTCATCTTCAACTTCACTGTTCTCGTCATTGTCGTCCACCGGGGAATTAAAACCACGGACGAATTCAACTCATGGCATCGTTCATCCACGTTCGCCGTTCAGTGTGCACTAAAGGAATCCAAAACAGCTTAGATGGTTTCCCTCAAAAGGGCACCGCATCGCTTTTACTAGGAGAACAGCTATTAGACATTAATCATTTGTGAACGAGCTTATTAGCTATGCTTTATTCTTCCTATTTTCTACTACTTGACTAGAGTTTAGACGTTCCACTGTGTTAACACGATTGGTACACACACGTCATTGTTAATGGACGCTCATCTCCGTGTCCTCTTCAGCAGTGCCATTCGCAAGAACACATTCCATTGCTTTGTCTCCGCATCACTTTTCTACTTGGTTATGTTAAACGAATATTTAGTTGTCACGCAATGATTGTACTCATTTTCAAATTTTGGGTCTGCATTTCTTATTCGCGTTTGTTTCGTGACATTTGTTTAAACACTACATTTCCTTATACTGATTTGCCAGTGCCCGTCACTGTAAATGGATGTTCGCCTTACTCTTGCGGTCACATTATGCCACTTTTAAGGACAAATGCGATTCGTTCTTGACTACACGATTGCTTATTCGCCGTTGCATTTGACGTTTTCCTTCTGTTGGTTGGCTCAAGTGGCATTTCGTAGCCTTCCTTCGCAAATTTGATTTCATGTATACAAGTCTGTTTCTGGCTCGTCTTTGGATTTCTTCTTACGGTCCTGGGGCGAAAGCGTCAGTGGCGACACAACCGCTTACCCCAAAACTGCATTAAGCTAGTCTAAAGTGCCACTCTCGTCCATCCATCATTTCGCGTGAGTCCGCGCAAACACGTCGCTTGGGCACTTCGCTCCCTTAGGCAGCGTCGTACGCTTACAAATAATGAAAGGTGACCGACGGGAACCATCTGCTATGCACCGCGAAGCAACTGTGAACCGTGCCTTCTCTTGTCCCGTCGTCTTTACAACAACTTTGTTGACGCCTTCCTGCTCCACCGTGCGAGTTGAAGATATGTGAAAACACACGAGCGTCTCGTCCATATTTCCCATTTGCAACAGCTCAAAATCATATTATTTTCTCGGCTGAATCACGAAGCATTGAAAAGATTCAACTCCAATGTCCAATTCCTACGGTAGTTTCGGGGTTAATTTTGTGTGGGGCCGTTGACACATGTCAAATCGGTTCATGCAACGATTGCATCATCCCGAGGAAGCAACAAAATTAATCTGTTTTGATGGCTAGAAATCAGGATTTATTTTAACACTGTGAGCGCCCTGATCCGAATGTTCCTTCAGGTAACAATTATCCCGCTGCGCCGTGACTCCAGCACCCATTGTGCTAACTTATCCTCCAGGGCAGGAAACAGTTTCTACCGCGTGTTACTTCCTTGCCTACAGGCATCAGTGACCATTTTGAAACTTTGCCTTTCGACATTCATTTGCTTTTTATTCACGGTGAACTGGCGTGCAGCCGTATACTATTTAAATTGCCTGGCAAACGCGATAACTTTCAAGTTAAAGCCAGCCGCATATGCAAATCGCTTCAGTTGAGACATTTTTTCACTTTACCACGGCTTTGGAAGATGGCACGAAATGTGAGGTCGCATTAGCGATAGTCTGGGTAGGGGATCAAAGCGCCTATACGTAAAGCTACGCTAGGAATTCTGGTGCACTCAAAGTAGAAACTCGACCCACACCAATGACCGTGAACTTCACTCTCACCCACTGCTTTACCCTGATTCATATACACGAGGCCCCAGACTATGCGAGGAGGCCTGTCTGGCCCACCCTTTCACACTATACCATTTCCCGGCCAAATTGTCCTCTTGGGAAACAGGAATAATCTGAGGGGGCATTCAACATGAGTCTACTCAATTAAATTGTTCCGTGCGTACGCCAGTCACTTGTGAAGGTGTCTAGGTATTTGTGTATAGCCCGTTGCCTTCAGCCAACTGGACCTCAGACGCACTAAGGCCTAGGGGTGTAGGTGGGACGTTTCAGCTCCTATGCACGGAACAAATTAATTGGGTGGACTCATGTTGAATGCCCCCTCAGATTATTTCTGCTGCCCAAGAGGACAACTTGGCCGACTGTCTTGTCTGCCTCATGCGAACTGACATCTGGAAACTACGCTGTTCGGTACGGTGAGTCTGTTCTGACGGCTCAACGCCCCATTAACTACGACCTTGACATATTACGATCACCAAACCTGAGCAATAGTAGAGCAGGTTTCGCTTGAACACCCAAGTGAGAACATTGGAAACATTGTCGTTTCGCTTTTTGCTGATTGTTTTGAGGTCGGGAATTATAAGGACTTACAAGTTTGGACAAATTTGATGTTGCAATTGCATTGCCAGTATATGCATGGACGGGCTTAGATTCGGTTTGGTAAAGAATCGATGAAGTTATCCCGTAGATTATGAAATGTAGTGTGGTTTTACGGCACTATGGTATCAGAAGAGAAATTCCCTGGAGCGTACACAAGACCACTACGTCGGTACCAGTGGCGTAGCAATAATTTCGCCGTCCGGAACGGTGGCAAAACTGCCGTCGAATGTCAGTTGTAAATCCGTATATCCTCACAATTGCGAACAGCATTTACATATTTCCTTTCCTTTAATAACAATCAAAGATAGAATTTAAGACGGATAGCGTAAAAGCAGACATTGGTACTGTTGCAATTATCGTGAAGAACAAATTACCAATCTAATTTTCGTGCGATACTTGAGGCAATTGTATTGAAAACTTTTCAACCTTCAGTTCATTGGCAAGTTCACTGAGTCATCCGTCAGTTGTTAACCGGAAGGATCGACCACCGGTTGTGCTCATGATGTAAAATCGTGCCTACTGAAGAGACTTCTGTCATTAGTCAGTGAAGTTTTCTTCTTCTTTAATCCAGTCGGGTTGTCGCGCTCAGACAACACATCAGTCATCCGATAGATCCATTTTCTCGTTCAGCTGATTCAGCACACCGGCTCCTGCATACACTGATGTGCAGCAATCACGTGTGTGTGGGTGCATGGTCATTTTCATCTTACTGAATTATTCCGCTCCATCACGGACTCATCTACTTTCGCATCCAAAAATGTGATATAAGATGCAGTTATTTTTGATTCCATATAACTTAAACCATTTACGTTGGTTCAGTCATGTCGTCCGCATGCCCCATAACCATCTATCTGGACACATGGTATATTGCTTCAACTGGTTTAGATAAACCGGGAGATGATCGGTCGATAACTATGCATAAAGGCACTCGAACTTGTAACCTATAATGTTGCTCACATAGCAATCATCAATTGTTATGAAACACTCACAAGCTGTGGCTCTGCAGTTGCTTACTGAGTGATCACCAGCTCAGTTCATTGGATTGTCAAGACTATCAAACCATTGCATAAACTTGAGACTTAGTTTCGTCAATTTCCTAACCGATACATCTTATGCACCGATGGTCAGATACCCAACGATCTTTACCGTCACTAGTTCGCGCTAACAATTTTGTGACCGCACGCACGAGGTACCCATCAGCGGCTGGGGTTGTTGGTCCGTCCCGGGTGGCATTTTGAGTATAGATGATTGTTCAATACCAAGTGCACATTCGTCAATACTACTTCCATGATTGAATTGATAAAAATTTAGCGTGACAATCATAATGAGAATGTGGATCAAATTGGACCTGCAAATGTTGATATCTGGGCATCAGAAAGCGACACTGACAACATGGATCCAACGGGAAATGTTTGTAAGGCTGATGTAGACGTGGGCGAAATTCTGCGAATGGCACAATAACACCCACATCAACTGATTTTATAAATGTTTGTCAGTGACCTGTTAAGTTTAATCATGCCATTCTCACTGGGTTTATCAGGCTCGGATCTATTGTCGTGCAACACGTAGACCGTGAATTCAGTAATTGCTGCTGTCTGGATCAAATACAAAAGCTGAGGGTATGAAGCTAACAACGAACTGGTTTCTTCCATATCTGCGAAACAGCGAGCAACGATTGCGACCACAGATGCTGTACTCTCCTTCGTAAAAGCCTCTCTTTCATTTCGGTTGCAGGATGTATTCAAAGGGGATAGTCCAGTTTTTGACTGATGTGGACTTATGAAACCTGTAAGAACTAAATCCAAAACCATGTGAACACGAATCTAGTAAAACGCGTACACAGTCATTCCTAAACTGCAAGGAGTTAGCGATGCAGCTAGTTGAAGGAAAGACAATTGACAAAATGGAGCTATCACTTGTAGAAATGAGCAGGCGTGAAATTCTAGCTAGATTACTGGATATCGTCAGGTTTCTCGCCAGGCGAAACATGACATTGGGTGGTCACCTTCGAAACATGAAGGATGATAAAGAAAGCGAGGAAAATTGAGGGAATTTCTCAGAATTTGCACATTTGTTGGCCAATTATGAACCCGTTCTTCGTGAACAATTGGTGGCAATTCAGCTGGCAAAGAAAATCACCACTTTCTTTGTCGCCACACGTTCAAAATGAACATGTGAAAATTTTTGTCAGGCAGGTAAGAAAGAAAATCATAGATCAGTCCAAGTAAAACCAGTATAGTTTCTTAATTTTCGATAGCACTCCCGAGGTACCTCACAAAAATCAGATAAGTGAATATGAAATGACAGCTGATGAGTCGTCCCTCAGCTTCATTGAGATCAGCAGCAAAAGCGGAAACACTATCCGGACTGGTTTCGAATCCTCGAAGGATGGAATTCAGCTTGATAGCTGCCGTAGCAAGGCAATTACCAATGCTGCAGCCAACGACCCAACCCATGTTGTGCCGAGTTTGCCATTGACAAGATTGGTCGAAGCGGTATACCACATTTATGGGTCTTCAGCAACACGCAAACCTGAGGGGTGTCGGACCTTCACGGTTTTAGGCTGTTAGATACCTCATTATCAATCACACGGTGTAGGAGGAACAATGGAACAATGGAACAATGGTTTATTACGGGTAAAAAAGCGTTGCTTAACAAGTCCCGTAGGATGGAAATTATTGTGAAAATAAATTGCATGATAAAGTGAAAAGCGTTGTGGTGGACTCACCATGGACTTATGTGGAATAGCAGAGATGTTCGCGTATTAAACATATAAATCCATAAATCCATTGGTTAGGCGTTTGGCAAGACACCGTTTGATTGCGTTTTGTAGCCCCTGGCTAACAAGTCATAAAATGAAATGTAAGTGAGACAATGCATCGTCAACACGTTTTTTAAATATCGCCAGATTGGGAGCAGAGACGACACAATTAGGGAGGGCGTTCCAAGGCTGGCACACGCGGAGGGAAAAGAAATTTCTACGGCATTCAAGCCGGCTATAATGAATTGTCAGTTTCAGAGGGTGACCTCTTAGTTTAGTGTTGTGGTTCAATTCCAGCAGCGGACGACAAATGTGGTTTGGGTTCTTCAGAATCTGGTAAACCATTATGAGATCCCCCCGCAAAAGCCGATATCGACTGCTGTAGATTCTTAGAGATTTCAGTCTAAGCTGATAGGGCAGATGAAAGAGGCCCCTGACGTTCTTGGTTGCCCGTCGTTGAGGAGTCTCGAGAGCAACGAGATCCTGTTTCTGCCACGGCTGCCACGCCTGAATAGCATATTCCACGTGAGGTCGCACGTAGGCGTTAAGCATTTGGGGAAATATTGATGGTTCAAACCGACCGAAGGCTCTGCGAAGAAGGCCGAAGTGTTGATTTCCGGTTCTCGTCGCCTTCTCTGCTTGTTTTGAACACCCGAGATCTTCCTGCACCAATACACCCAGGTCACGCTCCTGAGAGACCTTCGCCAAGGTGTGGTCTCCAATCTTGTAAGCGCTCACCAGCTGGTGACGCAGATGCATCACTTTGCACTTAGCTATGTTCAATTGAAGCTTGTTCCTCTTTGACCATTCGTAAATGCAATCTAGGTCATGTTGGAGCAGATCCTGATCTGCCTTGTTACTAATCGCCCGCCATATCTTGACGTCATCGGCGAAAAGCAGGAAGTTTGAGGAGATGACTCTTGCTAGGTCGTTGATAAACACCAGGAATAAACGCGGTCCCAGCACTGAGCCTTGTGGGACACCACATTCCACCTCAATTGGGTTAGAAAGTGATCCCCTAACACGTACTTGAAGCTTTCGTTGGTAAAGGAAGTTGCCAATCCAACCAAGTACAGGATCTCCGATTCCGTAACTCTGTAGTCTTTGAAGTAGGATGCGGTGATCAAGGCGGTCGAAAGCTTTGGAGAAGTCCAGATAGATGACATCGACTCCGACCCCATCATCGGCCACTTCCGTCCAACTACCTCGTGCAATAAGTAGGTTGGTGGTGCATGACCGGTGTTGACGGAAGCCATGCTGTTCCGGTACCAAAATGTTGCATTTTTCTAGGTAGTCCATTAAAGCCTCAGCGACGACTGCTTCCATCACCTTCGCGAGCACAGGGAGGAGAGTCACTGGACGATAGTTTGCAGGATCTGAACGGCTACCGCCTTTAAAAATAGGGGTTATAATGCCACACTTCCACATAGTGGGGACTTGTTGTTCATCAAAGCACCTTTGGAAGAACTGTGACAGTGGTTCAGCTAGCTTGGTGGCCGTAGCCTTCAGTGCCTTCGGGCGGATGTTGTCTGCTCCCGGAGAACTATGCTCACGCAGTGAGAGTAACTTCCTTAGCACAATTGATGGGTTGAAAATAACATTTGTAAACAAAGGTGTCGGTAATGTGCTTGATATTATGGGACAGGTAGAGGTTGCGAGTTCGAAGATTGGGGCGTATTGAAGCCGCAGGGCATTAGCTGCTTCTTCGGCGCTTTGTACTCTACCGCCTGTCGTGAAAAGTGGGGGATTCCATGCTTCACTTTACGAAGCTTATTGACATGCCTATATAGCAGTTTGTTGTTTGCCATGAATTTTTGGCTAGGCTCTGTTGATAAGTTACTTTGTCCTCACGGACAAGTGCAGTGCAATGGTTGCGATGGGTCAGGAAATTTCCCCAAGTCTCTGAGTCGGGGTTAATCTTGTAGGCATGCCATGCTGCATCCCTTATCGCCAGGCATTTTCGAGTCCTACTCCTTATAATTGAAGGCATTTTCGCGGGACGAAGGGGTTTGGTCTCTGATGCTCTGTTGACGATGTCGCTGAGTCTATTAACGAACTCTGCCCAAACGTTGTCAAGGGGACTTTTGTTTGAGAATTCCCAAGCAGCTGCGTCGGCGAGTTCTTTCAATACGTGGTAGCGTGTGATTGTATGAGTTAGTTCCGAGTGTTCAGATGGATACTCTGCATAACACACATAGTCAAAAGTTATTACTACATGGTCACTGAGACCTAATGGACTATCCATCAATAACTTGTCAACCATGAGCTCTTCATTCGTGAGCACAAGGTCCAATATGGACGGTTTGTTTGCTGTCCTGAATCTAGTGGGCGTGGTGACATGATTGTACAAAGGAATATTAGCGATCAGTTCATGCAAGTCTGCTTTGAACTGCTCACTGGGCGATGCCGAAACCTCCAGATTGTGTAGATTGAAGTCCCCGGAGATGAGAATGTGGCTGTACCTAGTGCGTGTTACTCTGTTTAGGCCACGGATCAAGCAGGAATCCATTTCCGGAGTGGACGTTGGGGGGCGGTAAACGACAGCTACTAGACACGTGTCGTTGTGTCTCAGTCGGAGACGGCACCAGAGTGAGTCAGTAACGTGTGTTTCCAGATCATCAACGGTTGTACATTGTAGATCGCTGCGGTAGTAGAGTAGGACCCCACCTCCTCTGCTGGGGCGGTCGTTCCGGATGAGTGACATTCCGGCTATCTCAACCTCAGCATCAGTCACCTCTTGGTGTAACCAAGTTTCGGTAATAGAAATTAGGTCCCAAGCATTCGCAACCTGACGTAGTCGAAGTTCGGTAATTTTACTGAGGAGCCCTTGGGCGTTAGTGTACATACATGAAAGTTTCTCAGATTTAAGCAATGTTTCGGAGGTTCTGCAACTCATATGTGAAGTTTCGCCGACCAGTGAGTGGCCGGCGACTAATCGTTTTTTCGATGTGTGCTTGGTGAAGGGTTTAACATTTTATTCATCGCCCGTGTAGTTAGTCCCGTATCTGATCTGCGACGTACAGTGTAAGG